AGAGCTGCGGCGGCTTCCCCAGCAGGTCTTTGGAACCCCGTCTCTTGGCCGGCGCCTCGGACTTCACGCCGGCCTCCCCCGGCTCGCAGGGGCTGTCCAGCAGCTGAAGCGCCTTCACTAGGGGGTCCTTGGAACCTCGGCGCCTGATTTCTGGAAGACACACAGTCCGCACATGACCGTGACAGAAAGGTGCCATGGGAACCTGGGCCTTACCCGGATGACCTCGTCCACCGGGCTGCGCGGCAGGACGTGGCGGAGGCGGCCGGCACGGCTCCCAGCTGCAGGAGCCTACAACCTGTCCGTCCCGTCGCCTGAGCCACGTAACGGGATCGAGTCACAGGATCAGGGACCACATCCAAAGACGGGTGTGCCTCTGGGGGCCACCTGCAGCTGGTGACAGAAGTGGCCCCGGGGCAGCCCGTTCCATGGTCCCTGGCCGGGGTCTGCTCGGAGTACGGTTCACCTGCAGTGTTTAATGCTTTAGGACGCTGAGGTCAAAGTACTTTAATATCAAGAGAACGTTTACTGTATTCACCGCGGTGGGCCGCGCACATGCGGGCAGACATTTCTGCCCTTCAGACAGAGTTCCTGACTTCCAGGCGGTTTCCATACAGTGGGGGGACCCAGACACATCCACAAATTACACCTAACAGGCCAACGGCTGCGGAATAAATACAAGAGGCCTTATGGGGAAAAGCAGCTACGGCGGCTAACGTCGATGGCGTATGGTGCGTCAGCACCATCCCGAGCACGTCGTCATTGTCATCACTCCCTACGGGATGGGACTGTTATTGTCCCCACAGCACAGAGGAGAAAAGCAAAGCATACAGTTTAAGGCAACTGCCCGAACCGGTCAGTGGCAAAGCCTGGGCTCCAAGGCAAGACGCTGGGCCCCAGAAGCCGTGCCCCTAACCGCTGCTCTTGGACTGACTCCAAGCGGGAGAGCAATGGAAGATGGGCCGGCTTGGATAGAGGAGGTCATTTCCAGCGGAGGAAGCTGCGCCGCTGAAGATAGGGAGGTGGGAGCCACAGAGGCCTTGTTCCCAGAGGGGGAGTTGAGAGAGAAGTTCGAAGGGCAGAGGCCGGGAGAAGAGGGAGGTGGCAGAAGCAGCCGGGGGTCGTCAGGCCAGGCGCCAACGCGTAGACGTTGGACCAGCAAGGACGAAAGGTTCAGATCGTTCCGCACGCGATGGCGACCGAGCGTAAGTTTTGACGGTGGCATCGGCTGTGCTGGGAGGTGAGCTCCAACGCAGCGGATGGGATGGGAAAAGCCAGAAAGCCAGGGTCTGGCCTGCGGCAGAGAAACGGATGCAAAGAGCCTTCAGTCTGTGCATCTGGTCACCATGGAGGGGACCTTTCCAAACACCCCGTCTCCTCACTTAACACCCTAGAGGCTCTCAGCCCTCTCCTTACAAGGTACGGACAGCTCAGCATGGCACGGGGGGCCTGTGATCAGGTCACTGCCTCCCTCTCCAGACTCTGCCCTCACCGCCACTCTGCCCCGTCCCCCCGCAACCCATTCTTTGTTCCAAGCAGACGGAAGCTCCGCAGCCTCCCGAGCAGGACTCTGCCGTGGCCCGCCGACGTCCTGGTGGTGTTCCAATCCTGGGGAAGCTGACGTAGCATCTCCTCCAGCTCCCCAGCTTCCCCAGGTGCCACCACCTTGCCAACTCATGCTCACCTTGCACTTCCGCCTCCGTGTGCCCGTATTCCTAAGTTGGTACCAGGGCAGGGACCACCGCATCCTGCTTATGTTTTGTAGGGCACACGGTTGGATGGGAGGGGAGAGAGAGAAGAAGGAGCTCCAGAACTCCTTTGAGCAGGTGACAATAATCTGGAGCCGGAGCTCAGCGGAGAGTGACGGTCACCGCGATGAAGGTCACGGGCACGTGTCGAGGACTTGCTCACAGATGGAGCGTCGTTAGTGCTTTGTGAACGAACGCAATCCCCGGGGAAAAGGAGGCAGGCGGCGAAGGGGAATTAAGGCTGAACCTGGGACTTCTCTGGTCAAGGGTGGATGGAGGGAGAGGGGCCGGCAAAGGTGACGGAGGAGTGGTCAGGTAAGGAAGAAGGGGGTCACGAAGGACAGCGACACCTGTGATCGGTACACAGGCATGGTGACACGCTGCGGGGGGGAATCACCGACTCGAGGCTTCTAACAAGGAAAAGACAACAAATAAAACAGTAGAGGAAAACGTCATTAAAATCAGGACACCGAATTAAAAAGGGCAAAGGGTACTGACAGGGCGAGGTTCCGACTCGGCCAGACAGGGACCCCGAGTCCAGCTCTGGAACCACCTGGGAGCCTTAGCACCCACCGGTGCCCACGTCCTGCCACCAGAGGTCCCGACTTGTCTAGGGTCCGCCTGGGAGTCAGGGTTGTCAAAGGGCCCCAGGTGATTCTCATGAGAAGCTAAGCCACACCTCCTGGGTCCCCACGGCCCCCCTCTCCTGCTGCTCCCCGGAGCCCGTCTTGTCCTGTGTCCAAAGCCGCCACGTCAGAACCTGAGTGCTAGACGCATCCCGGCCAGGCGGGAGAGGCGCCGGGCTGCCTGGGGTCCCCAGCACCTCCCGTCCAGGCGTTCGGTCCCACAGAGCTCTTCCTTCGCCGCTCAGCGTAGACGGAGTCATAGAAAATAAGAAACAGAAACACGCTCGGCTCCCGGTCCCATTAAGATAAGGCTGGCGTTTCTGAAAAAGAACTTTTCTACAGCGCTAAGAAAAAGCAAAGAGAGAACGCAAAGGAATTCGAAGGATGAACTTGGAATTCTCGAGTTTCTGAGCAGAACCCAAGTTCACTGTCAGCGTGGTCCGGGGCAGGCGGGGCAGGCGGGGGGTCCTCACCTCGATTCCCTCCCGCCTGAACCGCCCGGAGAAGAGCTGGTCCCAGCCTTCGGCAGAAGGGGTCCTGCCCACAGGGAAGTTTCAGTAAATTTGTGTCAAACTGACGCGCGGTGATTAGCACCCTGCGCTCTCGTTACACGTGTCTGAGCGTCTGCTGCTGAGCGAGGTCCCCGCGGTCTCAGGCGGTCCGCACCCTCGGCCCTGGGGGCAACGCTAGGGAGCCACTGCCGGGGACGGTCCTTTCTGGGATGGCCCTGGGGTTGGACAAGACCTGCACGGTGCCGTCGTCTTTCTAAACAACGTTCGATCAGGGGGCACGAAGGGCTCGAGCGCCCGTCCCTTCCAGCGCCCGGCCGCCCGTGACCCGAGGCGCCACACGAGCCGACTGAAACAATCGTGGTGCTGCGCACCGACCCTTCCTGCGCGGACAACGGCCCCTGACGTGCAGAGCCGGCCCCGAGAGGAAACGAGGCTGAGAAGGGGAAACGGCAGGAGGAAACCCGGCCCTGCCACCGGGGCCGGTGACGCGCCGCCGGCAGAATGCGCCTGGCCTGGCCGCGGAGCAACACCCATCTGCAGCTGAGCCCGGCCCACGTGCGGCCGGCCGGGGGACAGGGACGCGGCTCCAGCTCCGGCTGGACACCATTATGCCGCCGGTACTTAAAAACGGCAGAAGACTAAGGCTTCCTCTTGCTAAGTTAATTGTAAGTAGCCATGGAGGTCCCTCCGCAGTTGTCCAGAAGCCTCTGTGAAAATGGGATTCTCTCTCTGGACTGTCTCAGTAACGGCTACGCTCACTGGGTGTGCGTGTTAGACCCAGACTCCAGAATTTTCTCTATCATTCCTTACTTTATGCCCCAAAGAGTCCACGTAAAACGTTCCTTACCATTTCTATAATGCACCTTCCCCGCCCCATGCATTTCATGTTTTCCAAAACACTAAACTTAGAGCCTCCTAACTCTATTCTCCTCTTAGAATCAGAAAAAACGCCTCGTTAGGTAACTTTTTTTACGCTAGTCTTTTATCAGTGCTCACGCTTTTGATTTACAATCACCTTAACATTTTCCGAGTGAAAGCGGATATAACTCAGAAGCCCTGAAATCTGAGTTTAAGAAGGAAAGTAGAGACGAATTAAACACAGCAAGAACAGTCTTCTGTTTGCTTTTCTATCACAGTTAATTTTTTAAATGGAGGCCTGAACGACGAATCTCTCCTTTAGATTTCACTATCTAAACAAACCAACCAACCAAGCCATCCGGAGGCAAAACTAAAAAATGTGAAACCACCTACGACAGGAGCTCAGTCACCAAAACCAAAGGCTCCTGAGTGACCCGGCGCCTCCACCCTGAAGCGGCGTGATTCGGTCAAGCCGTCGAATCTTCCGGAACCTTGGTTTCCTCAGCTGTGACACAGCCTCTAACACCCACTGGTTACAGTGAGGTAACCTGGCACACGCTCGGCTCGTGTGAGACCAGCGTGGGGGCTGCCTCGGGGCTCTTCAAGACCCCTCAGTGCCTAGGTGTTATTTTGGTGGCTAAATCCCACGATGCTAAGTGATAGAGGATGTTTCTGCCGAATATTTAGCTGTCGCGTGCCTGCGAACTTAGAACGACAGAGGTTTGTCTTGTCTTCAGTCGTGTCTCTTTATGAACAATCCCTTGAACAAATCTAAAGGAGGATTTATTCATGGATTTATAAGTTATTAGCTTTTAAAAGTTAGGAGCGCAGTTCTGGGAGGGATCCAGGGAGTACGGGTCCCAGCTATGTGGCCACAGGACAGGACTAACTATGTCTTAATTTCCATTTCATCCTCTGTGCCGAGGCGGATGGTGGGTCTCATTCTCTACCTCAAGGCCCTGTCCACACTTTTCGGTGACATGTTTTCTTCTGGACTGGCGTTAGGTCTCTGAGCCCCTTGGGCTCTGGGGTCCGTCAGGGCATGGGCCACGCGGAGCTCGTTGCCTGTGGGCCCAGAGCCCAGAACGGGGCCTGGCACGTGGTAAAGAAAGTATCTGCTGGATGTCACAAAGTAACATCGCGAACAGCGTTCCATAAACCCAAGACGCTGTTAAAATCAGGCCCCTCGTTCCCACTCCACGGTGTTAAAAAGGCAGGACGGGGTAGTAAACGCACAATAGGATATACAGATGACAGATTGTAAATTATATAATTGTACTAACCAATGTTACCCCAATACACTTAATTTAAAAATAAAATAAATAAACAAAAAAGCAGGTCAAAGGCGGGGTGTCCCCCAGCTAAACCATCTCCTCCTGCGGCAATGCTGAAACCAACTAAAAAGAGACCCCTGACGTTTCTCAAGAAACGTGGGGCATTTCTGGGCTTGACAACAAATCAAACGAGGAGCAAACTGAGCAAAAAAGGTAAAAGGCTTAAAAAAAAAAAAAGGCAGCAAATCTTTTATTTTCAGCTTCCGATAAACTCACTTCCTGTTATTCTGTCCAGCTGTGTAACCTACGGGTGGAATAAGGTATAATGTACATGGATTGTGAAGGTGCTTTCTCAGATATATAGTTTAAGTGAAAAAGCTTAAAAACGCACCGATAGTTTTCAAAAGAGCAAAGAAAAAAAATCTAGCAGTTAAAAAAAGGAATTTTAAAATTTCTTAGAACTTTTAGTTCAACTGAATGCATTAATTTTGTACTTCTAAATGAATTTATTCGTGTGAACTGTATTAAACAGAGCCTGAAACTTAATAAGTGCTTGAATATTAAATGCCGGTTATTATTATCATCTTATCATTTCATATATGTCCTGAGGCAACTTGGCCCACTCATACACAGTCTGTGAGCACAGGCAAGTCAGAACTGCTTTGATGTTGTAACTAGGGGACAGTATTAGAGTCCCCCAGCTCATAGAGTTTTGGGGGTTACATGGAAAAAATTCATTTTTAAACAGCACAGTGCTTTCCCTAGTATTAGTGTGGCTCCACAAATAAACAGCTGGGCTAGCAGAGAAAAACTATTCTAGTTCAAAAGAGAGGCATACACACCAAAGAACGCAGAAAAGTGAACCAAAATTAAGCATTTTTTTTTTCTAGAACATTTTTTCCCCCTCGAGTTTATGTAAATCTTACCCCCTATTCCTTTCGAGCCTCTGGTAGTTTTTAAAATTCTGACTAAGTTCATTTTCACTTCCTTTCATTCACAGATTTCATTAGAGGTTGCAGTCCGGTGACCTTCAGGGTCACAGCCTGGCCAGGGTCCACCCTCCCCAAACCCGAGCCTTATCTCTGCAAGCAGAGGGCAGGAAACAGAGCACTGCTTTCCGGTGGCACCCCATTTTCATCCTGAAGCCCATCTTGACCCCTCCAGGGTGCTGCCGTGACCCTCTGGGCCTCTGCTTATGAAGCCTGAGTGTGACAGCTCTCCAATCTGCTTTTAAAAAGAGACACATCTTCGATGTGTGAGCCGTTCTTCCCTTCCCGGGCATGAAACCCAAGGCCTCAAACAAGGCTGCCTCAAGCCAGCGCTCAAAATCCACATGCCTCATTGCGGACTCCAGAATGTTTCGGAAAAATGAGGCCAATAAACAAGTTACTCTGAAATCCATGACTAAAGCCAAATAACTAGTAACTATGTTACTAAGTATCATTTATGCCAATCTAAGGGAACTACGGATAACAGGGAAAAGTATGAAACCAAAAACTGACAAGGGGACTGCTTAGCTCACGAGTTAGAATTGTTCCAACTTGAAAGGCGACAAGAAATCACCGACCTTGGTGTGAGGACGCGTGCCTTAAACGGCTGGCTCGTGCCCGGGACTAGTCATCGTTCCTCAGTAATCAAGGTGTTTGCTCCGACGTTGTGGGATTTGTTGAGAAATCAATCTCCTAGCACGACACGGAGGATCGCGTTGCGTCTGCGACTTTTAACAACTCGAGGTCCGCTCTGTATTATAATGTCCCTTGGTGCAGGTCGACGACCCCATTACAGACAACAAAGTTTTGAGAGTGGCCAAGAAATGCATATCAAAAGCGACACCTGAAGATCACATTCTGAGCACACCTGCAAACTCGCAAGTGTCAGTTTCACACAGAATTAAGGAAAACTTGGAAGACCGCCGCAAATTCGAAGACGGAACTGTAAAGGAAGTTAGCTGACGAGATATTTGACTCCGTTTGGGGCCCGTCAGCAGGATCTGGTTAAATCGCCTCACCCCCTTCCCCAAGCCGTGGCTACCACTTCGCCCCTTCCCAGGGAGAGTAAGATCGCAGCCCGGCTCAGAGCGGCTGCTGGTCACCGACCTGTTATCATCTGCTGTGCGTCGTAGGGCTCCATGTACCCGTCGTTCTCGCCACCGCGCTCCGCGTCCCTTTGACCTTTCGTGCTTTTCGCATCGTACGGGTCCGCGTAGTCTTCTAAGATGATGACCTGCGAAAGGCGCAGAGAGGCAGAGCTGCCAAGGACTGTCGGACACACGAACTCAGGGGCGGGAAAATGGCTACCGCCGACCGGCTGATCCGGGAGGAGGTCAAAATCTCCAGCCAGCTCTGGGGAGCTTTTGCACTCGACCTTGTTACTCACCCAGTTGCACAAACATTTGATTTTTTTTTTTTTTTTTGGTAATATAATTGTCAGCGATTCATCCAAACTCTGCTGATCCCCAAGGCTGTTTTCACCCCCTTTTCTCTCTCTCAGCAGCAAAGCATTTGCTGGAGTAAAGGATGGGAGGGGTGGGTGTGGGGAGTGGGGGAGGCGGTTGTAGGGACCCCGGTCTATCGTCTTTCTCATGATCTTGCTCTTTCAACTGCCAACCAGCTGAGCAATATGGTCACAGTAAGTCACGCAGCGTCCACCAGCACTGGCTAGGGAATCGGAGACCAAGACCTGTTTTTTTGTCCACAAGGAATTTGTAACAGCGCTAAAGAGAAAGGCTTCGTAATAAGCAGCTGAAGAGGCAGGTCGCCAATGAACAGTCCCGTGTGAATTCTAGGTCCGATAATTCACAGGCAGACTGGTCCTCACAGGCCACGACCACATGGAGTTTTGACTGGTATATGTCAGAAAGCATCTTTCCTTCCAAAAATACGCAGGGGCCTGGACAAGTGGGGTGTGCATCGTACTTCTGCTCTGCAGCAGCTGGGTGACAACGTGGGAGGTCGGGGACCCTTCTCGGGAAGGAAGCCCTGAGCCCCGCCCCACGACCTCTGGTTACATTTTCCAGAAGCTCACAGTGGAGCCCTGCAGCTGGTGGGGAGAGCTTAGGTGAGCAGGGAGAGGGGCCGCCAGGATAGGAGCCCTCCGCCTGCGAAGAGATGGCCTAAGAAACACAGACATCGAGCGATGACCAGGACTGGTCACCACTCACTCCTCGCCCACCGTGGGTCCTGCATCCCAGCGCCCAGCGAGGACCAGGAAGTGGGACCCGCGGCCCTGGGCCGCGAGGTGCTCACGATCCAGTCCGACAGGCGGACCACTGACTAGTGTCTGCACCAGCTGGGTCCTCGGCCGTCTGTCCACGTTCCCCCCCGCCCCCCGCCCCCTCGGGGCCTGGCGCCAGGAGGTGCCTGTAAACGGCTGTGGAAAGAATGGAGGAATGAACGAAAGCGCCCCATGCAGACCCTCGTGGTCTGTGCTGGCGGCTGCACGTCCGAAGCGTGGGCAAGAGAAAATCAACGTTCCCGACGGGAAGTGCCGGCCTGGCAGGACCCAGCGCTGGGCTTGAGCACCTCCCTCCCCCTTTTTCACAAAGAGTGAGTTTAACACGAGCACACACCCAGCTCGTCTCTGAGATCGGAGTGGGTCTCCACGTGTTCACACTCCTTTTAACTGCCTCACGCTGGGCGGGTCTGTCACTCCCTGGTCCCGCTCCCAGCCCCGTTAGGGCCCCGTGTCTGCGGTGCGACACAGAGTCCCGCGCTGGAGGGAAGGGCAGTAACCCGGGGGTGGCAGAGAAGCCAGAGGAGCCTTTTACTGCGGGGACCTGCGGAGTGATGGCGCTTCCACAGCAGCGGACAAGGGGGCGCGGGGGAGGGGCTGGCCGACCCGGGCCCTGGAGCTTTGAAAACACAGTTGAGAGGTCACCATTCTTATGCTCAAGAGGGATTAAAGTTACGGTCTAGCTTTGCGACCGTCCTGGATGTGGAAGTTAAACCACATCTGTAAGGGGGTCACGCTGAACGAAGCGGGACCGTCGCATCCAATCACGCCCCCAAACTGCGGACAGAACGAAACCGACAGTCAATTTCTGCAAAGTTCTCCATCTCCAAAATGAGGATTTAAAAAAAAAAAAAATCGAATGGTTTTGAAGGATCTCTCAGGAAGTCGCCCAATGTCAGCGGGGGAAACGCACCCTCACCTCCTCTGGGGCACAGGGACCCTGGGGCCGGGCAGGCTCGCCGAGCTCCTTCCCACCGGCCCCTCGGGTAGGCGGGTCAGCGCGGGTCCGGGGCGGCTGTGCCCTTACCGTGTCCTGCTGCTTCACGACCTTGCCCTTGTCCAGCTCGGCGGGGCCCAGGGAGGAAGGGGACGAGGACGCGGAGGAGGAGCTGCTGCTGGCGCTGCCGCTGCTGCCGCCGGCGCCGGGGCAGCCGCTCTTCGCGCTCTTCTCCTGGGAATCCAGCTTGATGAGCCTGTTGATGTAGGTGCTGCAGCCCGAGCTCCGGGCCGCGCCGCGGTGGGGCTCGTCGTCGCCGGCGGCCCGGGAGTTCTTGCGGCCCTTGCCCGCGGCGGCCTGGATCAGCCCCTGCAGGCTGTCCTGG